TCTGTATTTATGGAAATAGTAAAGTCCAGAAAAGACTAGTTAAAATCTTCAGTTATATTTTTGGGCATCTCATGGTAGAAACTATATAACAGTAGTTGCATTCATGCGGATTCATGAAGCTATGGGATTGTAGTTTCATTATTGAGCCTACTCTAACTTAAAAAAAATAGTTTTGGTCTTTTGCATTTTTACATTAAAAAAATTTTTTGTATATTTTTGCGCTCAAATGGAAGGTACATTCCAATGGTCTAATTCTTAATTAGATATAATTTTTAGTGATCTAGGAAGTGGAGGTTCTCATAGATACCATTAGTCAGCAAGATATAAATTTGTCATGCTGAGAAAACTTGATTTTAAGAAGCAACTGTACTGGGGACTATTCTGATTTCTTCTAATCTAAACCATAATCAGTGGATTTCACTGCCATTATCTTTGCAAATATCTCAGAGGGTTAATTCAGTGTTCTCTGAATATATAAGCATAATATAGAACTACTGAATATACAATATAAAGTTGTGCTGTTTTAGACTTTATGAACTGTGTCAATAAATTTCCAAAAGTGACCTTCTGCATAATGTGATTATGCTTTAAAGTGTTAAAGTTCTCTTTCTTGAATCATTTATTTGACATTTAATCTTTGTCTATTTCTGGGAAGGATTTTGCTTTATCTGTATGAATTACTTTGTTCTGCAATTAATTTCTATCCCTAAAACAGCCATTGGTTTTATGTTTGCAGAATACATTTCCAAAACTACTCCCTTGGCATCCTTTTCAGTGGTTAAGAATTAAATTTAGCTTTCTAATTTTCTCCTACTTATAACGTTTGAAGATAAATGTAAGAGTGTATTTTGAATATTCAACCATTAAATCACTTGGTCAGATTTTCCTAGAATGACATATTTGAATCATCTTTCTTATTTTCTTAAATATTCAAGTTTTTAATCAAGAAATAATGCCTCTCAGTCACCATTTTGTTTTCTTTCAGTTTATTTCTTTGTTAGATTTCTATTTTTGTTTCTTTCATCCTTTTTTCATTATCTTTTTATCTGACCATTTCTCCCTTTCTTAATTTCTTGAGTTACATATACTGGTGTTTGTTTTTCCTGAAAGAATTGTACTCTGTAATTCTTAGGATGAAGAACTTGTATTTATTTAGGATTATGTATATTATTATTAAATTTATCATAAAACTTTCTTTCCAAAGCACACAGGAATATGTAAGAAAGGCCTCTTAAGAGTCTGAAATTGATCTTTCTAAACTGTTACAAAAGATATGAAAAATATATATATATATAACTGGTATTACTAAAATACTAGTTGTAACAATGAATGCATTTGTAAACTAAGAAACATCAGGGATTAAAAGTTCTCAATGAATAATGAAATTTCTATGTGAAATTTTTATGATATTTTGATTACTATAGAGTGTATTCCTACCTAGATGAAAGATAAATAAAAATAAGAATAAATTGTATATTTCCCTCTTTCTTCCCATTGCCAGATGAAGCAAACCTTAATTAGATCCCAGTTTTCTTGTACCTATAAAGATGACTGCATGATAAGCAGGAATACATGGAATAATGTTGATTCAGCATCAAAGCCATTGAATGTTCTTCACATGGAAAATGACCTTTCTGGTAATTGACCTTATTTGAGCAATTAAATAGCAATTTAATTCCAGTATAGGGTTTTAACTTAAGTAAAACTAGATTTTCCCCTCACAAAGTATAAAATGTGAAATGTAAAAGTGTCTATTTTTAAAGACATGGGCTTATTTAAAAAGTTAAATCTAAGTACAAATTTATAGACAGGAATAGGACACAGTTTGATTTAACTAAATGTATTTAAGAAATAACTCTTACATTTAAAGATTTAGTGTCATGCATTTAAACAAAGCAAATATTTGTAGGGATGAAAGTGATATGGTAAAAGGAAAAATAATTCTATTTAATAATAGACAAACATGGTAATTAACCGTACCTCCAACATGCTTCCCATTGGCTAATCAGGGCGATATGCAAATTAACTGCCAACCAAGATGGTGGCCAGCAGCCAGGCAGCTGAAGCGAACAGGAGGCTTGTTTGCTCCAGTGATGGAGGAAGCCAAGGTTCCCCGCCTGCCGCTGCCGGCCTCTGAGCTGCACTCTAAGAAACAATGTTGCAATTATAGAAGCTAAACAAACCCCAGAAACCTGCTTTCAGCCAGCGCGGCCTCGGAGCTGTAGCTGTCCAGTGATGGCAACAGAGTTTCTAAACAAACCCAGGTACCTGCTTTCAGCCGGCAATGGCCTCAGAGCCGGAGCCTGCTCTCAGCTCCAGTGACAGCTATAGAAGATAAATTAATCCCAGAATAAAAAAAGAAAAAAGGAGAGGCTGGGAGGACACAGCACCA